TTGCCATTTCCTTCTCCAGCACATTTTATAGATGAGGCAACTGAGGCAAACGGAGTTAAGTGACTTGCCCAGGGTCACACTGCTAGTATGTATCTGAGGCCAGATTTGAACTCAGGCAGATAAGTCTTCCTGTCTCCAGGCCTGGCACTCTATCCTCTGTGCCACCTAGCTACCCTTAATTACTTGCCCAGGGACCCACAATCGTTAAATGTCTGAGTTAGTATTCAAACTTAGGTGTCCTAGTGCTAAATAAGGCCAGCACTATCCACAGCACCACTTGATCTCTTCTGTCCCCTGCTCTTTGACCAGTTCTTTGTTCCATACTATATCTACTGGAGCCTAAGGAAGGATATGGAGTTCACATGAGTGATCTTACAAAAAATGTTATTATCAAAGATTCAATTGAAGGAGGATTATAATATTGGCTAAATTAATATTGTCTTTAAAATCCATGGCTTCCATAGGCATGTTGATATACTGTTGGTGGAGCCATGAGACCACTCCAGATATCAATTTGGAATTATGCAAGAAAAATAACTGTCTGTACCCTTTGACATAGCATACACCCCAAAGAAGTAAAAGACAAACAGAATCACAGGGCCAAATATTTGTAGCAGCATTTTAAAATATAAATTTTCATTGTTATTTTCTGTTTCTTACATTGCTGGAGCATCCCTTTCCCTCTCCCAGAGAGCCATTCTGTATGACAAATAATATTTTTGGAGAGGAAAAAGAGGGGGTGAGGGGGCAGTCAGCACAGCTAATTGATAAATTGAAAAAGTCTAAAAATGTGTAATGTATAACACCTGTAGACCTCCAACCTCCATGAAGGGGTCGATTGGGGTTGTCTTCTCATATCTCATCATTTGAGCCCTACTTGATCTTTATAATTTTGTAACATTTGCTTTTTATTTTTTGATGCATCATTTTTTTTAATTATTGTAGTTACTATATATATATATAGTTTTCTTGGCTTTGCTTACTTCACTCTGCATTAGTTCATGTAGATTTTTCCATGCTTCTCGATATTCATTACACACATCATTTACACTTATTATCTCATTTGAGCCTTGCAACAGCTCTGGAAGGTAAATGCTATTTTTATCCCCAATTTACAGGTAAGGAAACTAAGGTAAACAGAGATTAAGTGGCTTGCCCAGGGTCATACAACTAGCGTCTGAAGCAAGATTTGAACTTGTTTCATCTTGACTCCAGGCCAAGTACTCCGTCTATTGAGCCAATTAGAACTTCCCCATGGTAAGGCCCTTGCCCACCATATCTCTAATTATTCAGCCCACCACATCCCTGTTTATGCAGCCCACCACTGATTGATACCCTCTCTTGTTGACCTTTTTTTCTACATTTGCCTGGAAATCTCCTCCCTGTGTTAATGCCCTCTCATTCCTCCAGGTGCCGGTTATCCCCAGAGATTCCAACTCCCTCATCTCAGGACAAGTATATTTTTCAAGTACTAAATCCTCTGCTTAATCCAGTGTATGGTCTCATTTTTCTCACCCATCTCTCTTTACTCATAAGAACATTCATGAGTGGTACTCCCTCCCACCTCCAAAGTAAGGCCTCCTTCCTTTCCCTCTCCTTTTCACACTTTTCCCTTTCTTTCTCACCCTCTCCCCTGTATGGCCTTCTCTTTCTAAGACTGAAGAGGTCACTTTCCGCTCATCGCTAGCGCTTGATTTGACCTTAGTATATCACTCACTCCTCTCTATTCCCTTCCTCCCCTTTTTTGTACTTGCTGATGTTCTAAAGAAGTCCCACAAAAGACTCATTTGTCTGTAAGGCAGGGTGCCGCCAAGTTCTGTCCATAGTACCCTTAGTGCTGTCCCATAGCACTGTTTGCCTCTTCACCATTACCTCCCCCAGATTTCCATCTTCACTCCAGGATCCTTGTGTACACTTAGAAAGAAGTCTCTTACTGGTCTTTCTGTTGTCACTCTATTGCTGTCTGCGTTTATTCATTCTGTATTTCTGTTGTTTGGGGTATTTGAGAGGCAAATAATCTCACCATTCCAGCTTTCTTTCTAAAAAATGTTTCAAAAGCTTCACTATTATTGAATGTCCATCTTTTGTCCTATGTGGTTAAGCTCAGATTTGCAGGATAGATCACCCTGCGTACCATTGGTCTTCAGAACAATTTCATCCCCTCTTTCTTTTCTTTGGTGGGTATGGAATAGTCTCACATTACTAAAATGTCCTTTCCTTTGTATTTGGAGGTCTACTTCCTGATGACTTTCAGAACTTATTGTTTCTGAATTGAATTGTTAAATTTAACCACTGTGTGACTTGGAGTTTGTAACCTTGGGTTTTATTCTGGAGATGATCTATAAATTCTTTCAACTGGAATGTCATTTTTCATGTTTAGCAATTTGGACAGTTTTTTTTCCTATTATTTCCTACATTATGGTGTTTTTGCCTGTCATATTTTTCTGGGAGACCGATGATCCTTCCTGTCTGCACATCTTGTCTTCAAGTTCGGTATATTTTGCTTGCATAGTGAGGATATTTTCTTTTAATGTTATTGTTTTTTGCTTCTCTTATTCTAGGTTGTCCTTTAGTTCTGTATATTTACATTCCCAATCTATTGTTCTCTCTTCTGTTTCCTTAGTGACGCTTGCTGTTGCAGTTTTTCTATCTGCTCATTAATTTTGTTGTGCAGGACATAAATTCTGCACTCAAAATTCTTGTTCTTTTTTAAACCACTCAGGAACAGTGTGTTGTGGTTGCAGGTTCTCCTTAAATTCCACAGGATTCTCTGTCTCATGTTAGATCATTCCCTCCTCTCCTTTTTTTGCAGTTTTTTCATAGATGCCTGAACTCAGTTGCTAGATCTGAAGTCTGTGTTTTCTTCTGTTGTTACTGTTTTTCCTATTGATTGATCTGTTTATGTTTAGGATTTTTTAGTTTTCTTCTTTCTGAAATTTTTTATATTTTCAGTTTCCCCCCCTCTCCCTTTTATCACTCCCTTCCTGACTCCCTCTCTTCTGATTATGGTTTTCTGGGTAAATCTCACAGCCTCCTCCCATAATGAAATTTCTGATTCACCAGCATACATCTCTGTCCCAAGTGATTTGTGGGTTGTCAGAACTGGCCCCCTCTGGATGCTGTTCTTTTTCCCTCAGGCATGGTAGAGTGCTATGTAGCTCAGCATCCTGTGCTGGTGACCTTTTCCACTTCCTTTTTTCCTCAGTTCTCTGGCCCACCACTAACAGAGTCTGCCTTTCCCTGGGATAGAGCTTTTGGCCCTGAAGTACTTTGGCCAACCTGGCTGTAGAGGCCTGAGCAAACTTCGGCAGGGTCTCTCTGGCACTGGAAAGAGGGAGGGGGGAACAGGGTGCAGAAGTGAGTCTTAATGTAGATCTGTGTCATGTCCTTGGGTCTGCTAGTGTAGTCTTGCGGCTGATAGTGTGGGGGAGGGGTTCTGAATGAGCTTAGGGTTAATTAGGTTTGAAGGAATTTTTTTTAACCTTCTTTTGGATTTGGGGGGTCCCAGGCCATTGAAACAGATGAAGTTGTTTTACCTTTGGTGCATAATTTCTATTTTGGAGAAATCTGAGATTGTGGAGATCAGAGAAAATGTTTAATTTACCATTTTGTTGCTCATGTAACCAGGAGGTCAGCAGCATTGTTTTTGGTTTTGAAAAACTGGAAACAAAGTAGGTGCCCATCAATTGGGGAATGGCTAAACAAACTATAGTATATGAATGTGATGAAATATAAGAGTATGATAAAAAAAAATAAGCAACCTGGGAAGATTAATTGGTAAAGAATCACATAAGCAGAACCAGAAGAACAATATATAAAATGACTTTTGCAACATAAATGAAAAGATTAAAAAGAAGTCGTACTCTGACTAAATAATAAAATATATCTCTTCCTTCAAAACAGAGGAATAGGGGGCTAGTAGGATAGGATATTATACAAACTATTGTATCTTATTTTTGGTTTAATTCTTTCTCTTTGTCATAAGTTTGAATTTGACTGACAGAAGATAGCGATATTTTGTTTTGTTACTTTTCTGTAGTTTTACAGTAGGTATAGCAAGAGTTGGAGGAGTTATAGGAAGATAGGCATCCTAGTATATATTTGGTGATGCTGTGAATTAGTATGACCATTTTGGAAAGCAATTTGAAATTATGTAAATAAAGTAACTAAAATGCCCGTGCCCATTAATCCAGAAATTCTGTTACTAAGCTTATACTCAAAAGAGGTTATTGATTAGAGTGTAGTCTACATATACACCAAAATATTTATAGCAGCGTATTTTGTGATGGCAAAGAAGATACCCATAGATTGAAGAACAGCTAAACAAAATGTGGTACATGCATGTAATGGAATATCACTGTGGTATAAAAAATAGAAAATATGACAGACAGAAAAGCATGGAAAGACTTACATGAACTGATGCAGAGTGTAGTAAACAGAGTCAAGAAAACAATATGCCCAATAAATACAACAATGTAAATGGAAAGAACCAACCACTATCAAAAATTAATATTGCAAAATTACAAATAATAACATGTCACCAAAGAATAGATATGAAAAGACTGTAGCAACGCACTCCTTTGCCAAGGTGGGAGGCCCATGAGTGTGGAATATTGCACATATTTTCATGCTTTTACATATATTTATTGATTTTGCTTATTTATTTCTCTCTTTTCTTTGTTGGATGGGATAGCTGTCTGGGAAGGAAGAACGGAAGGAATGCTTAGAAAAATTTTGGTGATGAATAAGCAAAAAGAGCTATCTATAAAAATCATTTAAAAAAACGTAGCTTTCCATCATCCAGGCTTCCTATTCCTCTCTTTCCATGAGTAACAGAGATAGCTTTATTTTATATTTCCTTTATGACATAAGGATTTCTTTTCTAGCAAGACGCAAAACTTAGGTCCCCAGGCACTAACTTGGTAACCAAAAGTAATAAATAGATGTTTGTGAAGATCTTCCAGTAACTATTGTTTATTTTCTTTTTCCCAACACTCCAGGACGGGCACTGCTGAGACTCACGGACAAAAAGCTGGAACGAATGGGGATCACCCAGGAGAACCTCCGACAGCACATCTTGCAGCAGGTGCTTCAGCTGAAGGTTCGAGAAGAAGTCAGGAACCTTCAGTTACTCACACAAGGTACCTCACTGTTTCCTACTGGGTGGATTGAAGAGAGAGGGAGGAGTAGTAAATAAAAGTGTACTTCCAAAGATCCAAACATGAAAGATTCTTTTGCTCCCTACCGAAAGATCCTTCACAAAGACCTTCATTATAATCTCAAAGAACTACTGAAAAGTCTTTTCTTTTTTTAAACTAGGTAAAAACCTCTCTATAGAAAGATAGGGAGGTGGAAGAATATGGTTGTAGAGTGTCTCATACAGATGTGGTTACTGTGTCTGTCATTCTCTTTAAGGATTTTTTTTTTTTGCTATGAGGAAATAAGTATTCTCTGTGGAGGGAGAGTATAAGGAGATTATTATTATGTTTTTGAATATCCATAAATAAAATTTAAAGAAAGCAGTCACTGATCACTAAACAGAAACTGAAATAAATAAATGGAGGTATCTTAGACTAACCAGATAATCTGAAAAGCTTCTTGGAGCCATGTCACTTTATCATTTATGTACTATTTTGGGTTTATTTCTTTCATGTGGGGAACTTTTATTGTGAGAGTTCTCATTGTCTTGGAGACTATGCCTGGGGCACAAAGACAGTAAGCGACTTTCCTATAGTCACACAGGTGGTATGGGTCAGAGGTGAAACTTGAACACATCTTTCTGACTCCAAGGCCAACCCTCTCTCTGCCATGGCAGACAAAGTGGACATGGAGTGTTTTACTTATTGTTGGAAAAGAAGACAAGTAGGAAGAAAACATTTTAGAAGTCTTTGTTGCTTTGAAAACAGTGAGAAAACCCTGTTAAGTCTCTGAAATGGAAAGTCTTTTAAAAAACAGATATCAAGAAAGACCTATATGTCAATTTCATGTCATACTCAAGAGGAATCCTTAATTGCTTCAATAGTACTAGTACATTTAAGGCCCTTGTAACTGTAGGGTCGGTTCAAACTAAAGCTGAAATGTAGACAATACCCTGTATTACATTTCAGCATTAAAAAAAGAAAGACATATTTCTCTCTATGCAGGATGCAGACTGGTAGCCTCACCCAAGTGCATCAACCACAGATTGCTTTGACTTTTTGTTTTATTTTAATGGCCATTTTGTGTCATTTCAAATGAAGAGATAATAATAAAATGTGTTTGGAGAGCACTGGATACGTTTTTCAATCTGCAAAATATTGTGACTGGCTAAGCTATGTGCGTAATGGTATTAGAGAAAACTAGGTCAGCCAAGTCTTGTGGTACACTGAGATTAACTCAATAATAATCCATCTCCCTAGAAAAAAGCCGGCTGCCTGGATGATGACTGTTCTATAGGGATATGTTTATACATCAGGTAATCTGAGAACTGTTTCACTCATTTGATCTGTACTGCGTAGGCATTTTGTTCCTAGTGACTTATTGCTGATGGAGTTATAGGTGGTGTTACATACACTGTGTGATTTACAAATAGCCCCTTGAAAGTTTGCCCAGGCCCTTCTTGGGTTTGCACATAATAGGCACTTTATAAAGTCTTGTTGTGCAATGTTGAATGAAGCATCCAAAGAATTTTTGTTTTCCTTCTATAAAAGAAAATCAGTTAAGTTCTATTCTGTTCAGTCCTATTTTATTAGGCCCCAGCTGTAGATGAGCCACTGTCTAAACAATGTTGAACATGCATGTTGGAGAAGAGAATGAGATTACAGTGTTCATCGAACCCCCTCAGGAACCTATTTCTGTCCAAAGATACTTTCCATATACCTGTGATGTTTCCTTTATAAAACTATTTATAGTATTGCCTACCATAGATACATTTCCCCCAAGCTACTGCAAGAACCTTTAAACCCCATAATTTTCATTCTGAAATGGTGATGCCAAAGTTCAGCCTCTTTATTTTGTTTGTGATTATCTTTGATTTGGAAAAGCTATATCCTTTTAATAATAACAGCAATAATAACAGTGACGATGACAATAGCAATACCTAGCACAGTGTAAGGTACATAGTAAGTGCTAAATAAATGCCTTGTCATTCATTGATATAGTAATAATAATAATAATTAATGACATTCATATCCTACAAACCATTTTTGTACATTTTCTCCCCCATTAAAATGCATGGACATGCTTTTAACTTTCTTTGTATTCCCAGCACTTAGCACTGTGCTGTGACAAATAGTAATAGCTTAATGAATATTTGGGGATGATTAAGTGATTGAGTGAATAATAGCTTACACTCACGTAGCCCTTCAAGGTTTGCAAAATGGTTACATACACTATTTCATTTAAACCTAACAACAAACCTATTATTTAAATACTCTTATTATTCCCATTTTACAGATGAGGAAACCAGGATTCAGAAGTGAACAGACTTGGCCAGGTTCATGCATTTATCTCCTTAGAATACATCAAGTTACCTTGAATTTAAGTATATTGTGTGAGTCATTATAAGCCTTGTCCTGTCTCCTTTTTAGTGAGGGAAAGGGGGACTGAGATTGATTTCATTAGTATAAGGAATTCCGCCTAAAGAAGCTCCTACCAGTGCATCATCAACTGTTGTGTAACCATCTTGAGAGTTACCTTGAGCACTGAGATGTTAAGTTATTTGCCCAGGGTCACACAGCCCATACGTGTCAGAGGCAGGCCTTGATTCTAGCTCTTACCTGATTTCAGGACCAGCCTTCTCCATCCACTGCCTCTCTCTCAACCTTTTACATATTGACATGTAAGCATATTTCATATCAAGGAGCTTTTAAAAAATTCTGAACCTTCTTTAAGTAAATTACTCTTTTTTTACAAACTTTAAATTGTGTCAGAATAATAGACAGACTCAAAGGCAACAAATAGCCTTAAAATATTTAGGGAGTTGATTTGAAGTTGAGCACCTTGGAGTTTAATTCCCCTGACTGAATTAATATTTACGTGATATGAAAATTAAAGGTGTTGAGATGTGCACATCTGTAATGAATATTTGATTTTTCATCCCCATGCACCCTAATCAGCAGAAATATTATGCTAAATAAGTAAAAAGATTTCTGAATGTCACTTAGCTGTCAAATAAAGTCTAAATTCCCTGGAAATTCCAAATTCTACTCTCTTGGAAAGCCTGAGTCACTCATTGTTAATGTGGAGTATCTTTCATCTTCCTCAGTCAGTTAGAATCCTGACATTCCCCTGTTCGAGGACCTTCAGTGGTGCCCTCATTGCTTATAGAATAAAGCAAACAGTTCTCCTTTTAGCGTTCTAGGGCCTCTGCTTTGCAGCCCTCCCTCATCTCTCAGGGATTATCTGTCCTTTCCTGATTATGCAAACTCATCTCCTCCACTTTTGCTACAGTTACAGAGGATGAGGTGATTTCCTCTTTCCCAAGTCTAGCCTTTCCACATGTCTCTGATCCCATTCCTTCCCATCACCTTCACAACTTTGCTCCATTAATGTCTCCCTGTCAGATGGAGCTTCTTTCTGCCCTGAAAAAGTGCTCTGGTTTCTCTGTCACTGAAACAACAGCAATAACCCTTCTGTTGACCCTGAATCATAGTTCCTCATTGACAGCTGCCTCCTGAACATCTCCACTTAAACGTACTCCTGGCATCTCAAACTCATTATGTCCCAAAATAAACTCATTATTTCCTTCCCCCCTCCCAAACGGGCCTCTCTGAATATAATTTTCTTATTCCTGTTGATAACACCAACCTTGGTCATGTTTCATTCTTCCTTCTATTTCACTCGTTAGTGTCGCTCTCCCTCCCCCAAAATTACTCTGAATTTACTCTGTATATATTTTGCGTAAACTTCTCTCTTCTGTATGTTACTTCTCCTAATATAATGTAAGCTCCCTGAGGTCAGGGATGATTTGAATTTTATCTTTCTATGCTCAGTGCCTGGCAGATGGACACTTAATAAATGTTGATTATTTGATGTTTAGTCGCTTGCCTCCACAGGTCTCTCCTCTTTACTTGCGCTGCCACTGCCATAGTTCAATGCCTCATCCCCTCTCACCTGGATTATCCACATGCCCTTCTAACTATTCTTTTTGCCTCTAGCTTCTTCCTTGTTACATTATTCCATCCTTCATACAACTGCCGAGCTAATCTTCCTAATTCACAGCTCTGGCCCTGTTACTCTCCTGCTCAGAAGTCCTCAGTGGTCCTCCATCCACTCTAGGATCAAATATAAACTGCTTAGCCTAGCCTAGCAAGCAGAAACCATAAACAATATGGATTCTATGTACCTTCCAGTCTTAAGAAAGAGACTAGAAACCAATAACAGTATTGATAGAGCACTTTCTTCACAACAACCCTGTGAAGCAGGCGGTATAATATTACTCCCATAGCTAATAAATGGTGGAATCAGGATTTGAATCTACGTTTTATGATTTTGCATCTAATGTCCTTTGTACTACATCACAGCTGCCTTCCAACTGTGCATAGCTAGCCACCTTAGTATTCCACAGCTTGAGCATCATATTTTATACTAGATATTTTTCTAACTGACTTTTAGCTGCTTCTAAAAATTGAATCCACTCTCAGAGGATAATAATTTTTATCTTATTGTTTCAATTCTGCTCTTCAACAGACTTTTAATTGTGTGCCTACTATGTCCAAGGCACTAGGGATATAAAGGCAAAAACAACAGCAACAAAAGTGTCCCTGACCCTCAGGAGCTCACATTTCTTGGGAATACAACATACAAACAGATAAGAAAATTCAATATGATTTGAGGAGGAAGAGAAAACTTATAATTCAGGGGAATCGGAAAAGGCTTAGCCATAGGAGGGAACACCTGAGCTGAGCCTTGAGGGAAGCTAAGGATTTTAGGAAGCAGAGGTGAAGAGAGATTCGATTCCAGACATGGAGGCAGATGTCAAAATGAGAACCAAGTTTAGGTTACAGCAAGAAGACCAGTGTGACTGGAACATGGAAGGCCTGAAGAAGAGTAATGTGAAGTTAAGTGTGGACACCAGATTGTGACAGGCTTCAAATACCAGACTAAGGAATTTGTTTTATTGTGTTTTCCTAGAAGTCATAGGGAACTATTGAAGTTTCTT